GAGAGAGAGAGAGAGAGAGAGAGAGAGAGAGAGAGAGAGAGAGAATTTTTTAATGTATATATATTTAGTTCTCGGTGGACACAACATCTGTGTTGGTATGTGGTGTTGAGGATAGAACCCGGGCCGCATGCATGCCAGGCGAGCGCGCTACCGCTTGAGCCACATCCCCAGCCCCTGCCATCAATTTTTAACACTCAAAGGAAATCTAGCAGAAACGGTGCCTTTCCTGGTGGTATTAATTAAGGTGACCTGGTTCTGTTAGAACCACAACAGACCCACACTGAGCCGGGCTCTGACTGAGCTACCTTAACGCCTTTCACTGACTACATCTCGGTTTGCTGCCCGCGACGCCGCGGAATCGCCCAGGACCACCAGCAGGGCCGGGAGCAGGCGATTCTGTTCAATGCTCTTATAACTGCTCCAGGATTGTGGCTTCGCCCGTGTGTCCCCGGCCCATAGCGCTTCCCTTTCTTGATGTGGAAGCTCCTGTCGTGCCCTGCCTGTCCACAGGACACACCGCCCGCGTCCCGGGAGACGGCGTTCTCCACAGCTCCCGGGCGCGTTCAGGAACGCGGCGCGCTCGCTCTCGCGCATGCGTGACACGGCGACTCCGCGCTCCCCGGGCGGACACCCGGGGAAACCTCGAGCGTCGGCGCCCAAGGTGCGCGTGCGCAGTCGCCTCAGGAGCCCCCTTCCCGATCCTCCCAACCAACTCCTACCCTGCCATCCACCCCGCTCCCTTCTAACTCTTTCGCCCCATTAAATCAGCCGGCTCTCCTGCACGTCACGGGCGAAAAGAGGTCCCCACAGGGGGTCTCCAGCCGACGCAGCCGCCGTGCGCGCCGACGCCGCCCGGGGCGCGCAGAGACCCGCCGCCCCGCCCCTTCCGCCGCTCGCGCGCGCACGGCCCTCCGGGGTTGGCTGCTACGGGGACCGCGGCGGCGGCCTCGAGAGCGGCTGTAGCTTTGCCTGATTAGTTCCCTCCGCCCCCTCGCGTCGGGCGCTGTGGTGCGGTTGCCTTGAGACCCCCAACTTTATTGTTCCTCAGCCCCACCTCCCGGCGCGCGTCCTCGGGATGCACTGAGCTGAGGGGAGGGGCGCGGCGGAGGGTCGCGGTCGCGGTCCCTCGCCTCCG